CTACTACTACTACTACTACTACTACTACTACTACTACTACTACTACTACTACTACTACTACTACTAATAATAATAATAATACATTGTATTTCTATCAGTGGTTTGATTTGGATGAAGTGGCCCATGGGAAGCTGCACCTCAGACTGGAGTGGTTGTCTCTGCTGTCCAAGCCTCAGAAACTGGACCAGGTACAGCGGCACAAAAACGTATTTAAAATATAAAAATAGAAGTACAGAAAGAGGTCAGGACTCGAAGCTTGGCAGGACCAGAACTAAAACATTTCTGTCGCTGCACACAGGTGCTGGGAGCCATCAAGGCAGACCGCGGTCAGGCCAACGACGGCCTGTCGTCCGCGGTTCTCGTCGTCTTCCTGGATTCAGCCAGAAACCTGCCGGTGAGTCAGCAGCAGTCACATCCTTCTGCTTTTTTAACTTTTCCTCTCGTCGTTGATTTCTTCTTGAAGGTGAACAATTTAGAAAACTAATATTTTAGAAACATTTTGTCACAACGGCAGTACAGAACAATGACCCTGGATTTAACATGAGTTTAAACTGTGTTTGCACCAKAATTATCTCATTTAAGAAAAACAAAGCTTGTTTTCTGCATGTATGGTGTCAATTTGAGAAAATTAGCTTATTTTTTTTAATGAGGTGAAACAAGTTTTTCTGGAGTTGACAGACTATCATTTCCTATTCTCAAAGATTATGTTAAAATGAAAAATATATTGAGTACGGCCATTCTTGTAAAAAAAAAGTTTGTTTTTTCATATGAGAGTTATTTGTATTTACATAAATCTTTGTAGTGGTTGAGTTTTAGTCTTCACCTTCTTCTTCTCAGCCTCCTCTTTTCTTCTCTGCCTTCTCTTCCCCCCTCCCCTCTGAAGAGCATCTTTGAGGGGGACGTGGGCTCTGGCTATTTAAAGGAGAGGCGTGAGGGCAGCCTTGTGTTTTGTGAGAACACGTCTTCTCTCTATAGGACCTTATTTGTGAGTCTGTTGGCTGTTTTCTGCATCTTGCACTAGTCTGGAGAATGCAGAAGAGTGGTTACTTTTATTTTATTTATTTATATTAAGTTTTTAACTGTTTGCCCGATCAGCATGATCCCCATGCATGGGTTTAATTCCCAATAATATCATTTGTTGTTGAAGTTTTTGTTTGATTCTAAAATTTGAGGGATGTGACAAAAAAATGGACAAAATGAAAATGATAAAACCAACAGGATAAGTTAGTTTTATCAAAAACATCCTTCCTCATACAGTTTTTCTCCAGTTATTTCAGTTCAGTTCAACATACTTTATTGATCCCAAAGAGAGATTACATTTAATCATGAATAAGTACAGATTACACAGAATTAGTCTKCATGTTATATTTAATGTGAGTTTCATCTGATTGGTCAACTTCACATTTCAGTATTTATGGTTCATTTTCCATAAATCTACATTTTCCTGTCAAAATGCCAACAGATTTTGTACTTTAGGAGTTTTACAAATCTTATAAAGGAATAAATATATATTTTTGTTTTAAAGCTATTAAAAGCGCTCATGTAGCAACTTCAACCAAATGAGATTTCTCATCTAAGCTGTTTAAACTTGCAGCAGGATATCATTCTTCTTGGTCAAAAATTGTGTAATTTCATTTTTCACAGATAAACAATAATATATAATAATGTAATAAAGGTTGACAAATGACAGTTGCAAATTTAGCTTTAGATTGAAGTCACTGATATCGTTCAATCATAAGTATTTTTGAATGAAAACTTGAATAAAAACTTGATTCGTTTGGTATATTTTTGTGTATCTCATTTAAGAAAAACAGTTAAAATATGTTTTGGTCTTTTTAAAATGAGATTTTAAAGATGAGTAATTAAAAAACTGATATTTTAAAAGGAAAAAAATGGTCTCATCTCTGTAGATGTGCTATTTAAACAGTAATTTAAAATATAATCCTAGTAGGACATGGATCACAAAATGACTAAAAAATAAATCTCAAAATGGAGGAAGGAATGCATTTTGATTTAAGTGAAATTTCTGAAGCAGGAAGGGTGAATTATTTGTGGATTGCTTCCCTCCATCCATTCTGTTTYCCTTTTTTTTTACTATATGCTATAAAAGATGGACACAAGTTCAGATTTTCAGTCTTTGTAGTAAAATCTAAAGAGAAATCCTGTAATCTTTACAATTCTGATTTAAAACATCTCTGAATTACTTCATTTCCAACCAGGAGCTTCTGTCCATTTTTCATAAACAGGATGCTTTAGAAATATTGTGTGTTCAGGTTTTCCTCATCCTTCAAATCAAGTTCAATCCCTGTAAAATTACCAGTTTGAAACACACTGATGGATTTTATACAGTTACTAAGGTWTAAATGGATGTAGTATGAAGGCTACATTGTACTAACAAATGTTGGGATTCTGTGATTTAAGCTAATAAGACAACWGAAGATTCATGAAATCTCCCTTTTCTTTGTCTTTTCTCTTTTATTTATCAGTTTAAAAGCTTATGTTATTAACAAGCTCTGACGAAGTTTGACAACTAAAACTGATGAAGATGATGCCCACACATTAAACTWGAATTATTTTAAAAATAAATGCCTCATATTTGTTCTATTTTTTTATAAAGTGAACAAAATCCATTCTTTTCCACGGTGGGATGACCTTGTTGCTCTAAACACAGTTTGYTGTTCGTGACTGAGAAACCAGGGGATTTTATTTCATCTGATCTCATATTTTTCATYTCAAAACACCAAATCTAACCGTCAGTTTATCGTTGTTTTAGTCATTCTGACACTCATCCTGTGCTGTAGTATTTAAAAGAAGACATATCCTGCAAAATCCACCTTTTTAGATGTTAAATACATTTTGTTGTACTTGGAGTCTCTAGGCGGCAGAAAAGCAGAATTTAGTCTCTTCTGGTTCAAAATGTTTATTTTCTGTTTGGGTCAGATTTTTCAGCCCGTTCAGTTTTTTCTGTTTTCTATGACGTTTTCTGAGCTTTTACGTCAAATTATCTGCAATGGAATTACCAAATAAGGTCTGGACCAATTACAATTTCCCCGTCTTAATTCTCCTCTGGGTCTGGGTCAGACTCTAGTTCTGGGTCAGACTCCAACATGTAAGGCTGAATGAAGTCTTCTGTTGCTGTCATCTTTTAATTAAATTGTAAATAAACCTTTTCTGCATCACTACAAAACATAACTCCCCTTCTCTCAAACCAGAGTGGACCGGTTTGGAAGCAGGAGGGGGGCGGAGCTAGAAGCGTCTTAAAGCARTAGTAACAAAACTGCTGCTTTGAGGCACATGGCAGAAAAGTGGTGAAAGAGGAGCTGGTAAAGTTAGAAAAAGAAGGAATTCAGACCAAAGCTTTGTTGTTCTACTTTATAAAGACCCGAATGAAGGATTTAAATGTGAGAAGGAAGGATTTAAAAGCAGGATATGTCTACTTTAACAAGAGTTCAACCAAAGTTTTCTAGCTGAGAAATTCTAATAAATACTGGTTAAAATCCATGTAATTTACAGACAATCTGTATTATGACTCTGTACAGAAGACAATCCGTAAAACTTGACATTTATGAACTTCTATAAATGTCAAGTTTTACGGATTGTCTTCTAAAGTTTTTAAAACTTTAAAAACAACATCTCAAAAGTAACTATTTAACTAACACATCTGAACATTAAGGAATCATCGGATCCGTCTGCAGGAGACTTCATGCAGCCAAGATTTTTGAGCTGACTATGCTATGATAAACATCAAAATGGAAACGAAATAAGTTGGTTTGTGTAAACCTGTAGAGCTTGTGCTGCAAAATCTTTGGTGTACCACTAGAGGGAGCTCTGTTACAACCGTTTGAGAACCATGGTTTTATATGTTGAGCAGAAAGGTTTTCTGAAAAACGAAACTAGTTTCTGCATCTCAGCCTGAATCTGGTGTTTGTTTGAGCTCTGTCTTTAATTCTCATTTCATCAAGGAGTGGCATTAACCATGTGATCATCCATGTTGTCTCTGTCTGTCTCACTCTTTGTGGTTCATCCTGGTCCTTTGGTGGTGCTGGTGGGTTCTCATCAACTGGTCCTCCTTCCTGCATGCTCTTCTCTTTCCCCAAAATAACCCCCCTGGTGTGTCTGTTTGTGTGTTGCTCTCTCCTGACTTGTCACTGGGGGAAAAAAATCAAAGCGCAATCCMTTAGAGTTCAACCCAACGGGGCTGAAGAAGGCCTCGGTCAATAAGGCCATCAAGGTAACAGCACGGCGACAAAGTACACCCATACAGCCCAGACGCCGAGAGGCGAATACACTGAAAACACTCAGCTCACGATAAAACCAGGAGGATGTGGACACTGATCTGTGCGCCGACTTTTAAAACCTCATGGAAACTGATTAGAGAAGTTTACTTTTATTTAGTCGCAGAGCACGTTTACGTTTTAACAATCTTTATTAGTTACTCACTAATAATAGAAAACAAAACACAGGTTCCAAGATTTGATTGTAGTAGAACTTGTGTTAACATTTAAGAACCTAAAACATGAACATTTTAAAGCTACTAACTTAGAGAATGGATAATTTCTAGAACACTTTGAGGTGCAGGTTTATCTAATGCTGCGCTCCATTTGCAGCCAAACTCAAAATTGTAAAGTCAGATTGACGTTCGTTCCAGTTTCCAGCTTGTCTGATAAATGCATCTTAATTCTTACAACAACAGCGCTCTACACGGCATTATGATACCACAAACAGCGTTAAAACATATCGCGTAATAATCGCTGTAAAGTCCTACAAGTACGACTGACAACGTAAAGTAAACAGAACTGCTAAAAATCATAGACGAGTTTCACTCTGATGTGAGGAACAGCCATGTTGAAATGATGACGTCATGCGTGGTCGGGTATGGTCGTGTAGCACCGACTTCATCCGTCCGTCCGTCCTTTTGCTTCCTCTTACCCGGGGTCAGGTCTCGGGGGCAGCAGCCTHAGCAGAGACCCAGACTTGCCTCTCTCCAGCCACTTGGACCAGCTCCTCTGGGGGAATCCCAAGGTGTTCCCAGGCCAGCTAAGAAACATAATCCCTCCAGCGTGTCCTGGGTCTTCCTCTGGGCCTCCTCCCAGTGGGACGTGCCCAGAACACCTCACCAGGGAGGCGTCCAGGAGGCATCCTAACCAGATGAACCACCTCAACTGGCTCCTCTGGACGTGGAGGAGCAGCGGCTCTACTCTGAGTCCCTCCCAGATGACTGAGCTCAGAGGAAACTCATTTTGGCTGCTTGTATCCACGATCTTATTCTTTCGGTCACTACCCAAAGCTCGTGACCATAGATGAGGGTAGGAACATTAACCGACCGGTAAACCGAGAGCTTCGCCTTCTGGCTCAGCTCTCACTTCACCACGACAGACCGGTACAACACCCACATCACTGCAGATGCAGCACCAATCCGCCTGTCGATCTCCCGCTCCATTCTTCCCTCATTCGTGAACAAGATCCCGAGATACTTAAACACGACTTCCTGACTCAAAATTACATTGGGGCGTGTTCCAGTCGATATTTCAGACTTGGAAATTCGAAATTCCGACCTCAGAGTTCAACTAGAACGCAGCATTTGATCTTAAAGGTTAGGTTTCCTAAAGCAGGAAAACTTCTGAATATGTGGAACCTGTAACTATTTACACAGAATACTTCAAATCGGGTCAAAAGGGTAGTCAAAATTTTGTCACTTGGGGATTTATTGAAAGAAATGTGATATAATTCAGTAAAAAATAAGGATATTTTTTGGGAAGGCTGTTATCCCATTATATTTGTTTGTGATGCTAAACCAAACTAAACTTGACTGATCTATTGTTAGTTTATTCAGAACTATGCATTCATTAGCCAACAGCTGATTGGTCCCTCCAAAATTCAAAAAAAAGGAAAAAAATTAAGAAAAACCATCCTCAATTTTGCAAAACATGTTTTGACGCTCACTTGCGATGGTTTTTGGGTTTTCTGAAAGTGTTAATACAGAGAAGGGGAGAAGGAAACATATTTACTGAATAAGTTCTGACGTAGCAAACATTTACCTCACATGATTGATCAGCTGTTCTCGTTGTTGCCGTCTTCCTGGGATTTTCCCATAAGAACTGAATTTCTTTCTCTACGTCTCCGGACAGCATGTAACATCCCCAATACTAGATGATGTTACAGAACAATTATGGCTTTCCTGAAACTTCTCTCCATTGTCCCGAGATGAGTGGTCACAGCTAGTTTCTACTTCCTGTTTATTACAGCCATGCGTAACATCAACGTCGAAAAGATGCTTTGCGTAGCCTGGTTGATTTGTTGCAAACTAGTAGATGGAAACCGGCCTAATTTGCTTTTTTTTTTTCTTTTTTGCGATATTTTAAGTTCACTATTAAAATAGGATGGAAACATGGCAACAGTGTTGGTGTCCACATCCTTTTTTACCACAAAGTGCAGTTCAGTACAGTTCTATTTTATATTTATTAAGTGGAAAACATCCTAAATACTCAAAAGTCATAAGACAGTTCCAAAAACAGTTGCATTAGCTGTTAAAGAGCTAATCTGCGGAAACTAAAAACTCTTTCTGGATAAGTTCCTCCACGTATTTTCAGAATCCAAACATTCACTGATCAATGTAAATCAGGTCTAACATTGTGTTGTACATAACAGCATTGTTACCATCCGTTCATACTCACCTCTGTTGATTTCCCTTCTTTTAAATTGAGCTGCTGTTTTTCTGCACTCTCTGGGTTCTGGAACTTTTAACTGTTGGACTTTTTTTCCCCAATTTATTTTGTCTTGAAGATCAAAATTAACACGTAATGGGCTCAACGAATAAATTTTAAATGCATCATAGCAGAAAACATGTTTTACGTATTTGAATTGAATAAATTTGAGGAAGATGTAGCCTGAATTTATTAAGAGCTCATTTAACATGATTTATTTATATTATATCATCACATTACAGTTGTAAGAAAACACTTGTCTCAGAATTTGTTGAATGATGTGCAGCTGCTCAAGCTGGATGTTATTATTTCAGTTTTGTAAAATGTGTTATTTCCCTGCAGTCTGGTAAAAAAGTGACCAGTGAACCCACTCCGTTTGTCCAGTTCACAGTGGGACACCAGTCCTTTGAAAGCAAGGTGAGCTCAAATCTGCATTTTGATAAATAAAAAACCATGGAYCATCTTTGATTATTTGAGCTTCCATTTTCTTTGATTGTTTTCAGGTCAAATATAAAACCAATGAACCAGTTTGGGAGGAAGCTTTCACCTTTTTCGTCCACAATCCCAAAATCCAAGAGCTGGAGGTTGAGGTCAGACCCTGAGCAGTTTGAAAACAATATTAATAATAATAATAATAGTTTTCTCTCAGCTCACCCTCTTTATTCATCTGTTAGGTGAAGGATCAGAAACACGAGTGTTCGTTGGGAAAGATCACTGTTCCTCTGACTGACCTGCTGGAGGCAGAGAACATGACTCTGAACCAGCGCTTCCCTATCAAAAGCGCCGGCCCGAGCTGCAGCGTGAAGATGAAGATGGCTCTGCGGGTAAAACYTCAAGAATCTGAGCAGCAGATTCAATGTTTGTGTGAAACTAGAGCTTCCTGAGCAGACTCARGCTGGTCGAGGCAGATGGCTGCCCACCTGTTAAAAGGGAGTCGTTTCTTCCCACTGTCGCCAACGTGCTGCTCAGGATGGGAGRCTGTGACCAAGTGAAGCTCAAATGCATTTTGCTGGAAAAACTTCCTCACTTTCCCYCCACCTTTTGTGTCATTTCAGCTCTTGTGTCTGGAAAAAGACACATCCGTCCCTTCAAACWCCGCCCCGTCCTCCGTGCAGGTCCGCAAGTCCAGTTCCAGCAACCCGCTGCCTCCTGCTTCCTCCGAGGCCTCCAAAACTCCGTCTACTGCTCACAAGCCCCCCAAATCCTCCGTGTCGGCTCAGGACACGCTGACCCGGCGGAAGGAGGTCGAGGAGGCCGTCAGGACTCCAGGAGGTGCAGCTCAGGGTGGTCGAGGAAAAGATGCAGCCACAGTGGGAGGAGGAGGAGGAGGAGGAGGAGGAGTAGGTCAGAACTTATCAGAAACCGGGAGGAGCACGTCTAACCTGAACATCTCGGGTTCCCAGCTGTACCTGGCTGGAGGCAAGGAGTCGACGCCCAGCATCGCTTCGGACATCTCCAACCCGTTCGCTGCTCAGGAGCTGCAGCAGAGAATCCAGCAGCTGCAGAAGTACGTGTTTCTGAAACTGAGCTGCATTTAGTTTGATTTGTTTTAGCTGGTTACACCTRAAATCACAAGTTTATCTGCTGCAGGGTTCCTGCAGATCCTTAAAAAGTCTTAAAAGTCATTGAATTCATCAATCCAAARATAAGGCCTTAATTAGCCTTAAAATGTCTTAAATCAATCTTTCAGAAGTCTTAAAAATGTTAACACATTGTAAGTAGGATGATTGTAACTCATCTCAAATATTAAAATAATTGGTAACATTTATTTTTTAAAATATTTACATGCAGACATTCCCCTTTGACATCACTTCCTGTTTTTTCACATGCAAATATCTCAACAACTGTCCATCTGAGCATCGTGAAATTTGTTGTGTGATATGTTAATAATTTTGTCTTTCCAAAAATGCATCACTTTTCTTACAAAAGTTGATGTCACAGGTTTCATCTACAGCAAATTGGGGTTAAGACCCCACTGTGGGTCCTAAAACTCCAAATTTTGTGTCGTTAAACTGACTTCTAAGAATGTTTTTGCTATGTTTAACGAAAAGCTGTTAGATTTGGATCAAAACAATTGGTCTATTAGCAAAATATTTGAATACTCCAACAAAAAATACTTTGCTGCTACTGTTTTTTTTTTGTTATTTATTTATTTATTTTTTTGTCATTTGTGTTTATTATGAAATTGGTGTTAAATTTAATTTCACTTGGCATTATAAAGTCTTTAAAAGTCTTAAATTTAACTTGCTTTAAACTGTAGGAACCCTGTGATGGAGTTAAGCTCACAGATAAATGTTAAATGGTTCTGTTTCTTCGTTTAGTGGGTCCGGTCCCAACCACTTCCCTCTGGGTGAGGTCCAGCTGACCATCAGGCACAGCTCACAGAGGAACAAACTGATCGTGGTGGTTCACTGCTGCAGGTACAGGGCACTCCAAAAACCAACAAAGTCCGCTGCTTTGACCCCAAAATGCAGTTTAAAATCAAATCTGCTCTGCGTGTTTTCCCACAGAAACCTGATTGCGTTCACGGATCACGGCTCAGATCCTTACGTCCGGCTCTACCTGCTTCCCGACAAACGGAGGTCAGGCAGGAGGAAAACTTCAACGGTTAAAAAATCACTTAATCCACAGTACGACCAGACGTAAGTCTAAACCTGATGGTGTTTTAATTTTTAATTTGCAAACAGCTTCAACTGAGTGGGTTTTTTTTTTCTGCTCAGGTTTGAGTTTAACGTCTCCGTCATGGAGCTTCAGAGGCGAACTCTGGATGTGGCCGTAAAGAACGGTGGGCGTCTGCTTTCTAAACACAAAGGCCTTCTGGGAAAGGTGACTTTTAAAATTCATAATTGTTTTATTGACTGAAGTCACACTAGCTGTGTTTCCATTGACCATGAAAATGCGGAAATTAGAAATTCGAAAATAAATTTGCTCAATGGAAACACGTCAATTTCGAAAAAAAAAGTTTTTCGACAAAATGTTTGCGCTAGGATGAGGTGTTTTTTTTTTTTTGGCCGTATCGAAATTGGTGTTTTTCTCATCACGGGAGTCACGTGATCAACAACCGGCTGTTTCTACTGGTGAAAAAGACGACGATGAAGTAGATAACAGGAAGCAGAAATAGTAGTAATATCACAGAAGTAGTATAAAATAGTAAACTCACCGACTACAATATCCCAAAAACACAGCATACGTAGCCGCTCCCAAGTAGGGACTTGTCTCTGGAAAGCCTCGATAAAAGACGCCGACGTCTCCTCTGATGATGAGCGCTAGTGTCGTGGTAGCAACATGCTATGTGTTTACATCCATCGCTGCCATGTTTGTAATGACTTATCATGAGAACAAACGTATTCACGTGACTTTAATAGCATTTCTTACTTAATGGAAACACTGCCGTTGCGAAACTGTGTTTTTTCGACATTAACAGAATATCGACAAAGTTTTGCACACGTTTGTAATGGAATCGCAGCTAGTGAGTTCTAAATTTTTTTCAGCTATTTTATCCAGTCATATTAAAGTTCAGGACACAACCACTGTAACTTTTTATTTGTTTTTTAACTTGTAACTAAATTTAATGATCTTAAAACAAATCTTGTTTYTCTCGTCAGGTTCTGGTGGATTTGACCAACGATGAAATCAACAAAGGTTTTACACAATGGTCAGTTGTTTTCCTCCTCATAACRTTTGGTTTCAATCCAGGAGATGACAAAATAAGCTTTAATCTTGATTAAATCCCAGTTGTGCCTCCAGCGATTGCTCTGACAGGGCTTTAAAAAGAAATATGATGAAGAAGCTCTGCTGCCAGGATGTCTGCAGCAGAACTTGAAGTTTAAGTTGTTTCCCACCAGATTGGTTTGTGGGTATTTTAAAAGCCCAACGAACATCTAAGGTTTTTTATATTGACCAACAGAAAGTTAAAAAAAAGTTGTACTGGAAACGTTCCTGAACTGTAAACGGCAGAAGTTTCTGGTCACGTGCTTTCTGTCAGAGAACTGACCAGTTGAAGGCTTTTATTTTGAAAAGRCTTTTATAAATCCTAACTGAAATGTAAGAAAAGCAGCCAAGCTTCATCGTTTCTGTGTTCTGCTCCTTGTCCTGCAGGTATGAGCTGACTGAAGACGGGCTGCCAACGCTGCTCCAAGTATAAGATGTCTTCATTATCATCATCGTCATCATCATCATCATCATCATCACCATCATCTGTATAATCGTCATATCGTCACTATTTCGCTTAAGTCCATTCATTCCCCCAAAACCTGTAACTAAATGGAGAAAATGACTCGTCTGACATCACGAGCACAGCTTTAAGAAGTGAGTGRTCAACTAAAGGATCAGAAAATATAAAGATATATATAAATATATATACTTAATGTACTGCAATATTTATAGACAAAGCTATATCTTTTTTGTTTTTTTGCTGCAACAGTTTTGTAAATAATGTAAAATGATGCTGGACAGATAAGGTTTGTATTCCTCAGATATCAGAGAGGTGTGGTGTCTTACTGGCCAAACGATTGTAATTTTATTCCATTAATTTTTATTATTATTTTTATTCTGTTTTATGAAAAACATTCTTGACACTTTCTGAAGTGGAACAAAGGGAACCGTTGCACAAAAGAGATGAAAAAAAGTATTTTGTGATTTTGCTGTTGTGGGTTTTGGTGACATGTTGTTGTTGTTTACACCACAGAACTGTAAACACGGATAAAATGCTAAATATTACAGAGTTTGTTCAGGAAAGATTCCAAATGTAATGTTCTTACTCAAATGACTTTTGCACATTTACATTTTAAAATCTGTCAATCAGGAGCATTTAGTTTCGAATACATCAAGTAAAAATAAATCATTTTTAACAAACAAGCAAAAAACTGTTTAAAATCTTTACATTTTAGAGAAGATTTATTTGAATAAATACTTGATATTTGGGTGTTAACGCTGCACACAGATCAGCTTAGTTCAGCATAAATATTTAAAACTCACAAAAATACTTATAAAAATCTTACATTTTATTATTATTATTACAAGTTTTTCAAATTAAAGAGTACATTCTGGCAAGAGGTAATGTTGCACATAAATTATTAGAACCATGTTTGGATGCTGTTTTTTAAGCTTTTAATCTTCATGTTGAGGATTTATTTTAAGTTTCTAGTCTTTTTGTTTTAAACTGACCTGTCTTGAGTTTTTATTTTACAGAAAAAAACCCAGTTATTTCAAAATAAAACATTAGGCATTCCATTTTTTTCCTCAGCTGTTTTAGTTTATTTCTGAAACATTTATTTTAGTCGATTTGACACATTTACATGTTTTTCTGTTTTACAAGAACCTGGATGTAACTACAGTTGTGCCTCACTCAGTATTTGAGCAGCTTTGAGGGTTTTTTGCAGCTTGTTGCAGTAATGGTTGGGTTTTAGAGTGTTATTGTTGACGCGTCGAGGCACAGACACACAAACATGTAAAACCAAGAGAAAAGGTCCGAACCGAACGGAGCCAGGCCGCAGTAAGAGTCTCTCATGCTAAAATGAAGCTAACGCTAAATGTTGCAGAAAGTTTATGTTGGAAAATGGCACTATTCACTGTAAAGATAAATTTATTTATGAAGTATTTTTACTCTTAATAATAGTACCGGAGGTGTTCAGCCGTGCTGTAGATTGATTGTGTTGCTTTTAAACAAGCAAACAACAACAAAACACTACACAAACTACTAAAAAGGTACAGAATTTCTTCTTTTCCCCTGGCTTCATATTTAAACTTTTCACTCAGGTGTCCTCAAAAGGCAGCAAGAGAAAAGTGTAGCAGTGATAAAATATGTATATTTTATGTACTTCTTACTCTGATTTTGTTCTGACTTTATCTTTTATAATTTAAACTAGTTTTAATGACAAATACACATAATCAGTCTGTTGGACTGTGCAACTCGAACTGCAGCTTTTCTCTTCTCCACACTAAAAGCTGCTGGGTTATTTTGACAACTGCACTGGGTCAAAGCGTGGGGTTTGGTTTGATTCAGTTGCTGGGTTAAAGCTGTTTTTTTTTCTGCCTTTTTAAACCAAAAATTCACCAAACCGGGCCTGACCGGACCTCTGCTTGGTTTGTTTTAGAACCTAGAACTTTTTASTGTGTAGTCTTTGGCTAATTTAAAATTGACCAGTTTTTCCTCATAAAATATTCTCAATATTTTTTTAATGTTTAAAACTCAGATAAACTCATGAGGATTTTAAAAGGTTTAAATCAAACTTCAATCCCAGAAAAAAAAATCTTCACGAAGCGGCTTTAAAAACTGAGGAAAGTCTAAATTTATTGGGTTTTTCTTTTCGTTGCACTGAAACTTTTCAAAGAATGAAAGGTCTAATTAACTTTCTTGTTTGCTCATCCTGTTTATATTAACCGTCTTAATTTAAATATAGTATTTGAGAGAATGTTGTTTCTTTTTGTTTTATATTAAACATTGTTTTTATGCTACAGCTCTACTTCAGAAGGGATTTAGAGCAGAAATAAAATCAGGAGGTGTATTGTAGGTCTTGGTATGAAACTAATTTAAAAAGCAGCATTTTTCTGTTGACCTTCGACCTTCCAAACACAACTTGTAAACCTTTGMTGTGTTGCGTTTACATTCAGCATCAAAAAAGTATTTTATGACCATATAAATTCTGCATTTGTTATATTTTTGTGTCTTCCAGCTGCCTTTAGTTTTGTCTTGTTTTGTTTGCCTCTAAATCATCATTGGTAGAGCTTATTCTCTGAAAGCTGTTTTTCTTCATCTTTTTTTATTTTAATTTTATCTCGTGCCTTAAATCACACGACTTTGCGATGTAATCTATATAAAACATGCTGGAAAAGAAGAAACGTGTCAGAATGTCTCCTCAATGTCTTTTTAAACTGAATAAAGAGCTTTAGCTGATTACCACAGCAGGAGGATGTTCCTGTCATTTTTRAGAGTTCTGAATATTAAAGTAACTCCTAACTTCTGTTTGCTCAGTCTGACAACAGCAGACAGACATTTGTATTTTTATTCTAACCATGGTTCCACCCAATGAGGTACATTGGGTTGGAGGCATCAGGCTTCAGAAGATTGATCTCTGTGGTAAGAGCGTGATGCCATATTGGAAGGGGGCGGGCTGTCATAAACATCAGAGTGAGATTTCTGCATAGAATTGCATGTAAATATGAACCTTTCATTGGTCAGCTTCTGCTGTTGGAAACATCATTGCAGATCTTGGCAACAATGATAATATGTAGGCCTACTGACAAACATTTCTATCAAATCAAAATAACGGTCGTCTACATGAAACGTGCTGACCTAAATGTAAAGTCAGCACATTCAGATTTACCAGTTTGCTCTGAACAACATGGCCGTTCACGCTCAATAACAAAAGGCACATGATGGTGCTTTTATATTGGTATCAAGACGTTTACCCCCCTGGACACTTACCCCCCCTAGGACTAGGACATTTACCCCCCTAGGACACTTACCCCCCCAGGACTAGGACATTTACCCCCCTAGGACACTTACCCCCCTAGGACTAGGACATTTAGCCCC